AGCTAAGAGAGGAGCTGTTTTCTGCCCAGGTGCTGTGTCCACTGCCTACCTAATTGGGTCGTCGGGAAAGTCATGACGTATTTTTCTATGCTTTTCAATGCAAAAATGCATTAGGACTTTCCCGACGACCCAATACATGGCATTGTCACCTCCTTCATTAGCACCCACCCTAGATAATTGGGCAGCCACCCGGGTACCAAAATGGACAGTACCAGTCCTGGGCCATCTGGGTCAATCAGCACCAAGGGCCTAATCTCAGCGGGAGGAACTTGGCTCCTCCCACCTTCTCTGGCCTCCCAGAGATCTGAGTGGGCAGGAATTGCTGCAGGCTGCCCTTGGTCGTCTTGGTTCGGAAGGGGGCATTAGACAGGAGGCAGGGAAAAGCAGATGGGCGGAGGCTGCTTGGGCTGATGCCAGCAGGCACACACTGATCCCACAGGCTTTAATGACGTCTCCCAGTCCAGGCACGCACAGGCCCACTGCCCGCCCCGGCCAGTTGCCCCGCCTACCCGCTGCAGAAACTCCGTCCGCTCCTTCTTCTTGTTCCGGCATCGGGCCGCTGCGACTTTGTTCTTCTCCCGGCGCCTTTTCCTTCGCTCCTCTTCCTCGTCTAGCTGTGAAGGCAGAAAGCCACTGATTAGGCACTGAGGCAGGCCTGGAGTACAGCCTCCCTCCTGACACACAGACAGACAGATGGACAATCCCCCTCCTAACCCACATCTCAGCAGTGAGCGAGCCGTCCCTGTCTGCCAGCCTGCTGGCCTCTCGGCTGGTGAGATGGAAATGTGTCCCAGCCAGCCCAAGGACCCTCTCAGAACAGGTGGGCACCTGTGGCAGCAGTTAGGGCCCCAGGAGGGCAGGGCTGCCTGGGTTCTGCCAGAGTGCAGGAGACCGAGCCTGGAGAGGCTATTCACACAGAGTTGGCACCTAACAGGTGGTGACGGTCTATTCTCCTGCCCAGCCCAAGCCCTCTGGGCACTATTTTCCAGACCAGTGGGTCCCAGGCACTACCTTTAATACCGCCTTGGGCATGGGCACAGCTTTTGCATTCTGCCCCTACTCATTGTCACCTCCCTAAGGTATCTTCACCCTCCCTCTTGGTCCTTCCAAATGCTCAGATCTATTGGGTTGTTGGAAAAGTCATGACGCATTTTTGCAACGAAAAACATAGAAAAATACGTCATGACTTTTCCGACAGCCCAACATGTCCTTGACTACTAAACAGTCTCCCAGCCTCCCCACCTGGTTTTAATCCTCTTCCCTGCCTCTGTATGTTCTTCCCAAAGGATACCCACCTGTGTCCTAGGATCCCAGCGTCCTGAATGGGACACAGGCAGAAGGGCATCCCAGGTCTCTGGGCTTGCTTTTCCCCAGGACACATTTTGCAATGCACCATAAATGAAAGANCAGCTCCCAACCAACGCGCCACTCGGCCGGCCCCTCTATTTTCTTAAAAAGGTTATCCCGATACACTCTATTTTCTTAAAAATATTATCCTAATACACTTAAACTAGGGTTCCACTTCCCAACTCTTTACAGAAAGAGCTGGGAAGAAGACTGATGCAGCCTTCTCAGCCCAAAAGACCTGCCTGAATTAAAATCCTGACTCTGCCACTTGCCAGCTATGCTGCTGTGAACAAGGCTCTCAATTGCCCTGAGCCTGGGCAACCTGAATAGAGTGCTGGGCTGTAGAAGAAGCCCAGGGTTCCTTCTAGTCCTGACTCGGCCACTGGGTGACCTTGAGCAAACTTTAATCCTTCCAAGTCCTGGCCTCCTCCCAGAGTCACTGTGACTGTCGAGGAGAGAGTGGCAATGAAGAACACGGAGCGCCATGGGAATGTGAGATGGTTACTGCCACCAGCACCCAGGGAACCTGTGTTAGGCACGGCCGCTACAGAGGCTGGCGTGACAGCAGGGAGAAGCCTACGGGCTGCTGCTCCTGATTGCTGACAGGACAGGTACTAAGGTCACCGTGAGGTGAGGATCTGACCCATCCAAAGGCCTGCCTCCTGCCTCCTGCCTCCTGCTCCTTCCAGGGCCTCAGGTGGTCTAAGCGGGACAACTCTGAGATGTTATAGAAATCTCCCAGGGTGTATCTGGGTGTCCAGGGGTCAAGGAGAGGAGAATGACTTTTTACATATATATAAACACAAACACAAACACACACACACACACACATACACACACACACACATCCCTTTGTACCTCCGAGCCTTGTAAATATTTTACTGTTAAAAAAATTAATTCCAAGAGAATCCCCCAGGACTGCGGACATTGACTGTCAACACACCCATCTGCCTTTGTGCCCCAAACCTCACACCCAACCTCTGTTCCAAGGCCAGAGGGGAGGAAGGGAGCATGGGGCGGAGGGTAAGGACTAGGCGCTTGGACCCAGACAGACCTGCCCAAACCTCCCTCCTAGATCCAAATGCCATACACTTCTCCTCATGTTGACAGCTGCCTTCTTCTCTCACCAGGACAACACCACAGCCACACAATTACCTTCCCGCTCTATTCTTGGCTGCCCCAATCTGTGCCCCATGCTGCAGCCAGAGGGATCTTTCTAAGGTGTGTCTCCCTTGTTCTGAAACCCTTCCTCTCCATAACCATACAATTCATCACCTAATGGGGACACTTGTGAGAGCGAAAGAAGGTGCCATTAATAATTAAGTCAGGACAACAGGCAGACACTGGGATTCCCCCAGATAACCCAGCATAGAGGACCACCTGACACATTAAGGATCTGGGGCCTGCCTGTCTCTCTCTCCATTCTCCCACCTGTGCTCTAAACTCCAGCCACTCTTTTCAACTCCTTAATCACATTCTTAAACAGCTCTTGCCTCTGGTCTTTGCTTGTGCTATTTCTGGTTACCCCCACCCTCACCCCCACCCCACCATCCCTATCCTTCATCTCAGCTAGCTCCCTCTCCTCTTTTATGTCTCAGTAAGCAGGCTTTCCTCAGCGCAGACTAGGACAAGTCCCCTTTGAAAATCCTCACACTTGTTGGGCTTATCCAGCCCAACACTCAGCACATGTTACTATTCCTCGCTGCCCGTCTGCCATCCCACTGCAGACATCACTTGCTTGACCACTGTGCTGCAGGCACTCACTAAGCACTGATTGGACAGATGGATCAGCCAATGAATGAATGAATCCCAGCTCCACTGCTTGCTAGCAGTGTGACCTTGGGCAAGTAATTTGACCTGAGCTACAGGTTAATGTCTAAGCAATATTTATCTCACTGGAATGTTATAAGATGAAATGACACACATGAAATGCCTGGCACACAGTAGGTGCTCAGCAAGTGTTACTGGAAGCAGCTATCACCGTTCATTTGGCACTGCCTGTTTACTGCATTAATGGGTTATCAGTTTACATTCACTTGGCATATCTTGTATGTTAACTGGCTGGTAAGCCATTGAAGTCAGGGATCTGATGTGAGGCTGCTCTGTCCCCTGCTGAGCCTCGCGCAGCTCTGCAAGCACTCAGGGCTGGAAATGAGTAGGCGACACTCGGTCCATTTAAAGGCCCATGTGGGACCTGTGTCTTCGAAACTTCTTGAAAACTTCCAGCCCAGTGTTGGTCCACATCTCTTCCAAGGGGCTCCCAGATCTAGGAGTCTAACCCCACCTAGATGCTTACAGCCTGGCACCCATACTGCCCTATGCCGATTACACCAATGACCTCAGATTTGCTCTCTGCTTGTTGGAAGCATGAAAAGAGACCCACAGATCCCCCCCTGTGTCAGAGAAAACCAAGGTCAATGCAGCCTTGTCTCTTCAGCTCCCATAGAAGGGATCGTGTCTGCTCCTTCCTATGTGTCCCCCAGTGT